CCCCCCCCCCCCCCCCCCCCAGTGGCCTTCAGTGCCTCCTAAATTATTCCTGGGTGCCCCCCGTTGGTCCTGAGTGCCCCCCTGGGTGCTGGGTGAGCCCAACCAGTCCTAGGAGCCCAACAGTGCCAGCTGCCCCTAACGGCAGCCCGTAGCTGCGAGCAACCCCACCACCCCTCAAAAACTCAAGCTGCCCCCACTCAGCCCTGTGCGCTCGTGGGGGGGGGCCGGGGAGGCGTGGTTATACTTGGCCACGCCTCCGTCAGCGCAAAGCGCCACCCTATGCGCGGCGGAAGTCTCGCGAGAAGCGGCGTGATGTGCGGGGGCTGTGTGGGCACGGAGTACCCCGAGAGGGTGGGTAGGCCGCGGCCGGGCCGGGGGGGGCCGGGGAGCACCGAAGCCCGGTGCCGAGCCGTGCGGTGTCCCCTCGTAGGGCACCACGTGCCTGGAGGGCGGCTCCTTCCTCCTTAACTTCGTGGGGTGCGCGCGGTGCGGCCGCCGGGACTTCGTACTGCTGGGCAATCGCGCCGCCGGCCTGCACGGCGACGATGAGATCATCACCTACGACCGTGAGCGGGGGGTGGTCTGGCCTGGTGTGGGGGGGCTCTGAGGGTGTCTGGAAGGGGGGTGTGGGACTCCTGGCGGTTTCTTGGGGGTTTGGTGGTTTTTTGGGGGTGGAGGGGTGTGTTGGGGGTCTGGTGCTTTAGGGTGGGTTTGCCTTGTGTGGGGGGAGGTGTTGCAGGGTCTCCAGGAGGGGGGGAACTGGGGCTCAAGGCTTGTGTCTGAAGGGGGTAATTGGTGGGGTTTGGTGCTGTAAAGAGAGGGGTGTTGGAGGGATGTATGGGGGATATTAGGGAGAGGGAGGAGAGTGGAGGGAGTGTTTAGGTATTGGGCTCGAGGGGGCATTGGGAGTCCGGTGCCATAAAGGGGAAACTGGGAGGAGTTGAGCCTTGAGGGGGATATTGAGGGTTTGGGACCTTACAGGGGTGATTACCCGCTGGGGGAGTGGGGGGGAGGGTTGGTGCTTTGAGACCTAACCTGGGGCTCAGGGGGCTCAGCATCCCAGGGTGGGACTTTTGCCCCGTGTAGGGGCTGAGGTGGGTTCAGAGGTGAAGCCAAGGGTCCCCGGTGAGCACTGTGCCAGGGCTGGGCACATCATCATATCCCCATCCCTGAAGGCCCTTACCTGGCTTCCTCTGCAGACCTGTGCAAGAACTGCCACCACCTGATTGCACGCCACGAGTACACCTTCAGCGTGGTGGATGACTACCAGGTACATCCTCCAGGGGTCAGGGGGTTCTGCTGTGCTGCGTGGTCTCTCCCCAGCCCTGGGGGGTGCCCTCATTTTTGCTAGTGCCCACCTGCCCTCACAGCCACTGGAGGGAGCTGGAGGTGAGCAGCAGCCCTGGCACTGGTCCCGGTATCACAGGTGCACAGCTCAGGAGCTCTGTGACACACATGAAAGCAGCCACCCCACACTCCCCATCCCTCTTCCCTGGCTCATTGCCCATTCAGCAGCAAAGTGCTGGAAAATGGGCTCTGGGCAACCAGTGAGGCAGGGTCCTGGGGGGATGAAATGCAATCCGTTGTGATCTGATTGCAATCAGGGATCAGGTGTCAGCCACAGCTCAGGTTTCCTTGGCAGTGGAGGGAGGGGATAGTGTGGCCTGAGCCCCCTTCCTGCGCTGTGTTCTGCTCCAGGAGTACACCATGCTGTGCCTGCTATGCGGCCGCGCCGAGGACTCGGTCAGCATCCTGCCTGACGACCCACGTCAGATGACCCCACTCTTCTGAAGGCAGTTTGTAACCCTGGGTGGGGGGGGCTTCAGCCCTGACCCGCGACCCCCTTGTGCCGATGAAAAGAAGGGGGGGGGGGGCAAGGGGGGGGGCAGCCTGTTGGCACCCTGAAACGATTCTGTGCAGCGCAGCTGCCTGAGGAGTGCGAGCAATAAAGGTGAATTTGGTACAGCTCAGAGCTGCATGCAGAAGCACTCTGTATTTGTTCCCCCCCTTGGTGGGAACAGGCTGGGGGTGATGTCATTCTCCTGTGCCCCACCTCCCAGTGCTTGCTCTGCTCCAAACTCCCTCCCCACCCACCCAAAGCCCTTCTAAGGCTGTTGCCTCACTCTGCCTGCTGTGCCCCTCTGGGGGCACTCATTCCTGTTGTGGGCAGGGCGGGGTGGCACACCCTCACTGTGAGGCTGCAGAAATTGCTTTCACCTCTCCCCCTCTCTTCCTATAATGGAGCTGCCACCACGCTTTGGCACTGTTCCATTGTGCACAACTACTTCCTGCATCCCATGTGCTCGGTGTCTCAAAAACCAGGAAGGGGGGCACAAACAAGGGGGCTTGGATGCTGCCTCCAGCTCATTTATTGCCGCCAGCCCCATCCCAGCGGCCCCAGCCCTCCACCCCATCAGACCCCCTCCCCAGGGGGGTTTCGGAGGGGGCCATCACCTGGCAGAGGACAGGGGCTATCTGGGGGGGGGGGTACGGCCCTACTTGGCCAGCTTAAGGAGGCGCTGGATATCGGGCTCTATCTGGGCAGTGGGCAGGCGAGGGCTGTAGCGACGGAAAGGTTCCCCCTCGGGCCCCACCAGGAACTTCTCAAAGTTCCAGGAGATGTCAGAGCGCCGCACAGGGCTCCACACCAGGAAGCGGGGCTCGGCCATCAGGTGGTCTGCCTCATCCATGGGGGCGGGCAGGTGGGCCTTCAGGTAGGCGAAGACGGGGTGGGTGTCCTTCCCATTCACCTGGCACTTCTGGAACAGGGTGAAGTTGGGCTCGAAGCCGCCCCCTGGTCGCACGTGCTTGAGGCAGTTGAGGATCTCCTCGTTGGTGCCGTTTTCCTGGCAAGGGTACGAGGGGCTGAGCCGCATCATCCGCCACCCCGCGTCCCCTCATTCCCGTGGATTTACCTGGTAGCCGAACTGGTTGCAGGGGAAGCCCAGCACCACCAGCCGCCGCGGGTAGCGTGCCTGCAGCTGGTTGAGCTGGGTGTAGTCCCGCACTGTGGTGCCTCAGAGCGACGCCACGTTCTCGATGAGGACCACCCGCCCGCGGAAGACGTTGAAGTCCACCTTCTCCCCCTGCAAGGAGGTGGCGCTGAGGTCGTAGAAGGACTTGGCGATGGGGATGCTCATGGCTGCAGGTGACGATGTGCTCTGCCGCCTGCCTGCCCGCCTTAAAGGCTGACCTGTGCCCACGTGACGGCATCTGTGCTGTGACTGGGTGGAAAGCAGAGCCGGCCCACCTGCTGGCACCTGCCCAGGGACGGGGTGGGGGAAGGCCAGGGCAGCGCCACCGGCCTCAATTATTGATGTGGCTGCCACAGCACAGAGCTTGAAGCAGCCTGGGGCTGGGCGCAGGGTGCTGGCTGTGTTTGCCCCCACATTGTCCTTAGCACACGCCCATCCCAGTGCCCACCATCCTGAAGCCTGCGTGTCCCAGTGTCCATCACCATCCCCGTGCCAGCCATAATCCTGCTGCCTGCGTGTCATCCTTCTGGTACCCATCCATCCTGATGTCCAGTGCTGTCCCATTGCCCGCGACTTATCCTAATGCCACCACTGTTCTAATGTTGGCTTATCCCAGTGCCCACCATAATTCCAATGCTCACTCATCCCAGGAAGTGACAGTGGCCTAAAACACACCTGCCCTGGTGCCCACTGTTGCACTGTCCGTAACCACCCTAATAACCACAAGGGCCAGTGGCCATCATTCTGTTGCCAACTCATCCCAGTGACCGCCACTGCCCTAAGGTTCCCCCATCCCACTGCCAACCATCATCCCGATGCTCACGTATCTCAGCACTCATCACCATCCTAGTGTCTGTCAGTTTCAATAAGGAACAGCATCCTAATGCCCAAATATCCAGCTGTCTGCCACCATCCTGCTGCACAACCCTTCCCAGTGCCCATGACCGTCCTAATGCACATGCCCCGTTACCCACCACCCTTCTAATGTCATTCCATCCCAGTGCCCACCATAATCCCAGTGTCTGCATGTACTGGTGCCCATCACCATCCTAATGCCCACCCATCCCAGTAAGCAACCCAATGCCCAACCATCCCGAATGGCCCACCACCAACCCACTGCCTACCCAACCGTGTGCTCGCTGCTACCCTGATACCATCATGTTCCAGTGCCCAGCTCTTCCCTGCTGCACACCACCATCCCATTGTCCCTCCATCCCGGCGCCTATGATCATCCTAACGCCTGCACTTCCCACTGCCATCCATCCATTTCCCACCCATCCCAGTGCCCACTGCTTGGTGCCCATGGCCCTGTTACCGCTGCATCTCCACATCTCCACAACCTTGTCCCCACCCTAGGAAAGGGGACACTGGTGGGTTCCCTCCATTATTCATCACTGCTCGGGTTGCCGCAGTGCCGGGGACACCATGGTGGCACCGCCAGGTGACACCGTTCCCGGTGAAGGGGCTCCAGTATCTCCTTTATTGTGGAAACGGTGTGCAAAACAGGGTTGCAGGGTATGCCAACAGTGCCTGGGACCCCCCCAAACACCAAGGGGCTGCGGTGGAGTGGGGGTAAGTCCCCGTTCCTTGTGTCCCCCCCACCATGCCCCCTCTGTAGCAGGGCAGGGGGAGGCCAGGCTTCAACACCAGCAGTTTTTGGGGTTGTCGTGCCCCCCTGGGGTCTGCTGCTCATCCTCCTCCAGCTGGGCCAGCTCAGGGGGGGCCGTGGCAGTGTGCAACCCCTCCAGCTCCTTGCGGTGCGCCTGCAGCACCAGCTCCGTCAGTCGGGTGAAGGACTGCAGGGAAATGGGGTCAGCCTTTGGGATGGGGTGGGAGGCACCCGCCTTCAGCCCCACACACCTCCTTTATGTTCAGGTTGCTGCAGGCACTGGTCTCATAGAAGTCCATTCCATACTCCCGGGCAAGCTGCGAGGCAAAGGGCTCGGCGGTGCCGATAGGATTTTGGGTGAGGGGTCATCCCCCCATTTCTCAACATCATGGGGCAGACAGACGGTCCCATTGGGTGCACAGTCTATGGCCATGCATTGGGGTGTGGGGCAATTTTAGGGGAGGCTGGAGGTGGGGGAGCATTTGGAGGGAGAACTTGGGTGATGCTGGGGGGAGCACAAGGGGATGTTCAGGGTGCAGGAGGCTCCGGGGGGGGGTCCTGGTGCTTTGGGGGGCCCTGGCCACGCAGGGGGTGCCACCCCACCAGCTCACCTGCAGCCCTTGCTCTTTGGCCACTTGCCTCTTGTGCTCTTCGTCTGCTTTGTTCCCAATGAGGATCTTCTGGACACCATCGGGTGCATACTGAGAAAAGGGATGGGGGAGGAGGGAGCACATCAGCACCTCTCACCTCACCTATAAATGAAAGGGACCTCCCTCTGAGGCCCCACCTCGTCCACGTCGCTGGCCCACTTGACGATGTGCTGGTAGGAGCGCTCACTGCTGATGTCATACACTAGGAAAATGCCCTGCAGGAAAGGCACCAGGGAGGGGAGAAGAGGCAGCACTTTGACCTCCCCGTGCCTCAGTTTCTCCCCCTCATGCCCCTATTACCTGTGCCCGCCGGTAGTACTGCTTGGTGATGGTTTGGTACCGCTCCTGCCCTGCCGTGTCCCTGGGGGCATGGAGGGGGTTGGAGAAGTCATTCCATACCCCATGCCTCAGATGAACCCCGAGGGGGGGGCACCGTGGGGTGTGACCTCCCCAAACACTCACCAGATCTGGATGCGCACCTTGATGCCATCCACCTCGATCGTCTTCATCTTGAAGTCCACCCCTGGATGGGAGGACGGCAGCTTTATCATCATTATTTTTTTTCCTGGGGGATGGTTCCGTGCTTCCTCCCTACGTTCAGCTGGGACTGGGGACGCCCCCCCACAGACCCCTTCAGCCCTCCTGGCCCATAGCTGTGCTGTGCCACTCTGAACCCCCGCGGAGCTCCTTCCGCTGCCCTCTGATGCTCCCAGCACTGCAGCTCGCCGCTGCTCCCTGTCCCCAGTGTGGTGGCTCCCGGTGCCCCCGGTTTCCCTGCTGTTTCCTGGTGCTGCGATGCTCCCAGCGCTCCCAGTTTCCCATTTTCCCATAGCTTCAATCTTCCCATTTTTCCAATTCTCCCAGCTCCCACTTCTCCAGTTTCCAGGTTCCTCACTGCTCCCAGCCCCCAATTTCTCCTCTTCCGGATTCTCCCACCTCCCGGTGCTCCCAGTTTCCCATTTTCCCACTACCCGTCACTCCCGGTTTCCCGGAGCCGGGATGCTCCCGGTACCCTCGGTTTCCAGGTTCCCCCGTGTTCCCAGCTCCCGTTGCCCCCGCTTTTGCTCTGCTCCCAGCCCCCCCTACCCCCGCTTTCTCACTGCTTCCAGCTCCCGCTACCCGCCCGGTTTCCCGTCTCCCAGCTCCCACCCCCTGGCGCCGCGCATCCCCGGTGCGAGTACCGATGGTGGAGATGTGCGCCGGGTGGAACTCGCTGTCGGTGAAGCGGCACAGGAGGCACGTCTTACCCACGCCCGAGTCGCCGAGCAGCAGCAGGCGGAACAGCACGTCGTACTGCTTGGCCATGGCGGCCTCGCGCCGCCGCCGGGCCGGGGGAGGGGATCCTGCGGGATGGCACCGGGGCGGGGCGCGGGGATGCGCCGGGCACCGGGAGGGAGAGGCGGGAGCGATGGGGGGGGGGGAGGCAGTGAGGGATGCACCATGGGGATTCGAGGTGGAGGCACACACGGTTTTGGAGCGGGGGATGTAGGGGCTCGATGAAGAGTCGTGAGTTTGGAGCAGGGGATGTGGGTGACAGAGGAGGACGCAGCAAGGGTCAGAAAGGGATGCGGTGGGGGACAGCAACAGGGACAGTATGAGATGTCCTGGGGCACCGAGAGGTAGCAATGGGGTGTATGGAATGGACCATTTGGGAACACCTGGAGTTGCAGCCAAGGCACTGGGAGGAACCACAGCGCATTAAGGGGGTATTGGGGACACACACACGGGTTTGGACCCAAGGGACATGGGTGACACCGCAGCAGATATCTGGGAATGCACTGGGGGTCACCAGGAGGAGGTAGCATGGGGAGGTGCAGGGGGCACACACACTGGTTTGGAGCAGGATATGTGGGTGACAGGTGGGGACATGGCAGGGAACACCCGCAGATGCACTGGAGGACACCAATGGGGCTACCAGGAGATGTCCCGTGTCACTGGAAAGCAGCATGAGAAGGAGCTGGGGGATATGGGACAAGGTGGGGGACGTGCGTTTGGAGCGGGGGATGTGGGCAACAGCTGGGGACACAGCAGGGGACAGTGTAGAGGCGCAACTGGGCGACGTTGGAGGTGACATTGGGTGACATCCTGGGTCACTGGGAAGATGCGGAAGGGGGTATGGGGTGGGGACACGCATGGGTTTGGAGCGGGGGACGTGGGTGACAGAATGGGATGGCCCACAGGGCACTGGTGGGGACAATGGGAGACGTCCGCAGGTCTCTGTGAGGCCGCACCGGATGGGGTGATGGGGTGGAGACGCCCAGAGCCAGCCCGGGGAACACCCCCAGGGTTGGGGGTTTGCCTGCGCGGCCCGAGCGTCGCAGCGCCACGAGGTGACACCGCGGCCACACTGCGACACGGCGTCACCTGACCACACAACGCCAGCGCGCCGCCACGCAGCGCCGCCTGCCCCGGGGTGGTCGGGGCTTTAGAGCGGCGTGGGCGTGGCCAACGGCGGAGGGCGTGGCTACCCCGTAAGGGGCGTGGTCTTATGTCCCCGCCCGGCCGCCGTCGGCCCGGCCGGCAGCAGCATGGCGGGGGCATCCCCGCACGGCCCCGGTCCGCACGGCCCCGGCGGGCGGCGGCGGCTGCGGGAGGACGGCGTGAGGACACACACTTCCGCCGAGCAGGTGCGGGGAGAGAGGCTGTGGGGCCGGGGGTGGGGGGATTGGGGTCTGAGAGGCCGTACGGCCGGGGCTGAGGTACTGCTGTGTGAGGGGCCCGGGGCTCTGAGGGGTTGAGGTGTGGAAGTGGTTAGGGGGCCGGGATCGGAGGGGGCCTTGGGCCTGGGGGCTGAGGGGGCTGTGGTGCTGCGATCTGTTGGACTGGGGGCTGAGGGGACTGTGGTGCTGCGATCTGTTGGACTGGGGGCTTTGGGGCTGAGATCTGTTGGACTGGGGGCTGAGGGAGCGGGGATCTGTGGGACTGGGGGCTGAGGGGTTGAGGTCTAAGGGGCCATGAGATATGAAAGGGTGTATAACTGAGAGCTTGCAGAGCGTGGGATTGTGATGGAGCTGTGGAGCTGGGTCTGAGGGGCAAGTGCTGAGACTGGGGTCTGAGAGGGCCAAAGCCTGAAGGACTGAGGTCTGAAAGGCAGTGGTCGGGGAATGCCGTGGGTCTGGGATCTGAGTGCCAGGGTCAGAGAGTGCCATGGGGCCAGGTGTGAGGCAGTGAGGGGGTGAATGTCCCTGCTCCAGCTCCAGACCGTGGTGCATTGCTTAACTTTGGGACCAGGAAGCCCCATCTGTACTTCTTGCATCAGCTCCCTTGGCCCCTGGCGTGCTGGGGTAGGACAGGGAGGGGTCTGAAAACTTTAACCTTAGACCTAAAGTGAGTGGAGGTTGCATGGTGTGGCAGCTCCAGGCACTGATTGTGTGCTCTACTTCTTGTGCCATAGAGCAAAGTGGAGGACATTGTGCAGGAAGTGTTTGATGCCTACAAGACGAACCACCATGCTGTGCAGTAAGTGCCCCGTGAGTGCTCCCACAGCATGCTCTGGGCTGGGGCTCTGCTGAGCCCTGCCTGCTGCCTTGCAGGTTTGTCCTGCAGCGGGAGAAGCACTTCCACTACCTGAAGAGAGGCCTCCGGCAGCTGGGTGAAGCATATGAGGTACTGAGCACAGCCCCAGGGCTCCCTGGTGAACCCTTCAATTGTCATCGAGTTATTCCTGCCCTGGAGGCTGCTCCTGTGCCATGGGGTGCCCCGGGGTGGTGGATTCGTGATTTGCCCTTCCCAGAGTGCCTGTAGCCCCTCATGTTCCCCCTGTCCCTATAGTGTCTGGATGCCAGCCGCCCCTGGCTCTGCTACTGGATCCTGCACAGCCTGGAGCTGCTGGAGGAGCCCATTCCCCAGTCGATCGCCTCTGAGTAAGTCCTTCCTTAGCCTTGTGGGACATCGAGGGGTCTGCACCCCATGAGCCACATCAGAGCTGCTCAGCGTGGGTGTGCCTGCTCCCAGAGGTGCCCACTGCCCTGTCCTCTGGGGCCACCTCCCGCCGTCGCCGTGTCCCTGGCGCCAGCACAACGGTGCTTTGTGTCCTGTGGAGCCCTCAATGCTGCCTATTCTTGCCGGCCAGCATCTCGTGACAGAGGGAGGTGGGGGAGATACAGGAGTCAGCATCCACGTCCTGGGGTGGGGGGCTCCCTGAGGTGGTTGGGACACATCACCAAGGTGGGAATCCCCCTGGAAACACCTGGGGACACTGAGATGTGGCTGGAACCTTTTTCTGCTATGGGATGTGCTAAGGGAAGGCTCATTGCCATCCTGGAACCCTCACCCTCTTGCCCACCCCGCCCCAGTGTCCTTCCCTGGTTCCTGTCCCCAGCTGTCCTCCTTGTCCCTGCAGTGTCTGCCAGTTCCTGAGCTGCTGCCAGAGTCCCCAGGGTGGCTTTGGGGGGGGGGCCAGGCCAGCACCCCCACCTTGCCCCCACTTACGCCGCTGTCAACGCGCTCTGCATCATTGGCACAGAAGAAGCATATAGCATCGTTGATAGGTACAGGAGGGTGGTGTGGGGCTGTGGTTGGGGTGTGTGTGGGGGGTTTCTAGCTCCACGCTGCCCCACACACCCGCATTCTTCCACAGGCAGAAGCTGCTGGAGTACCTACACACGCTGAAGCAGCCCGATGGCTCCTTCCTTATGCATGTAGGCGGTGAGGTGGATGTCAGGTGGGTGAGCTGTCCCCTCTTTGACCCTGTGCAGCCCTCACCAGGGCTGGGGACAGAGGGGACATTGCCCCCTTCTCCCCCAGGAGCGCCTACTGTGCTGCTGCGGTGGCATCGCTGACCAATATCCTCACACCTGCGCTGTTCACTGGGACAGCCGAGTGGATAGCAAGGTGAGTGCTGGCCCAGAGCGGGCACAGGGTGGGTGGCCCCTCTGTCACTGTCCTTAGTGTTGTCCTCATGCAGATGCCAGAACTGGGAAGGCGGTATCGGCGGGGTGCCAGGCATGGAGGCTCATGGTGGGTACACCTTCTGTGGGCTGGCAGCACTGGTCATCCTGAAGAAGGAGCACCTGCTGAACCTGCGCAGCTTGCTGGTGGGTGTCACAGGGTGCCGTGGTGCTGGGGGGTCCCGGTCCTGGTGATGAAACCCACTCCTGGTGATGAAACCCACTCCTGGTGATGAAACCTGCTGTCCCATGCAGCACTGGGTGACTGGGCGGCAGATGCACTTCGAGGGTGGCTTCCAGGGCCGCTGCAACAAGCTTGTGGATGGCTGCTACTCCTTCTGGCAGGCAGGGCTGCTGCCCCTGCTGCACCGTGCCCTTCACACACAGGGTGAGTGGCCCAAACGGGGAAAACCGGGGCTTCATCTGCCTCCAAGAAGCATGTTTGTAGAAGGGGGATGAATGAGCTTGAGCAAGGAAGCAAAGTGTGGCACAGCCCTGGAGGGTGCGGCAGGACCTTCGGTTAGAAAGAGGCTTCCCTGGGGTGGTCTTGGGGTGTTTTAACAGACCCTCTTTCCCCCCTTCTCCTGTGCAGGTGATGAGGCGCTCAGCATGTCACGCTGGATGTTCGACCAGTCGGCGCTGCAGGAGTACATCCTGCTGTGCTGCCAGTGTCCAGCTGGAGGGCTGCTGGACAAGCCGGGAAAGTGAGTATTGAGGCAGTTGTGTGGGAGGTACTGCACCCCCAGGGCTCTCTGCTCAGTGTGCCCCCCACCCTGCCCCAGGTCACGGGACTTCTACCACACCTGCTACTGCCTGAGCGGGTTGGCCATTGCCCAGCACTTTGGCAGCGGAGATCTGCACCACGAGTTGGTCCTGGGCATCCCTGAAAACCGCCTGGTAGGTGGGGGGGGGAGGGGATATGGGACTCCCACTTCAGGGCTTCTTCAGGCTCAAAGTGCTTTGTCCTTCACTCTGGCAGCAGCCCACGCATCCCATCTACAACATTGTGCCGGAAAAAGTGATGAAGGCAGCGATGCACTTCTTGCAGCAGCCTGTGCCCAGCCTGGAGGCAACAGGGTAGGGGTCTGCACTCCACCCATCTGGGCAGAGTGAGGCCCTCAGGGTGCTAGCCATACCAAAAAGGAGCTGGGGGGCCGTAAAGCAGAGCTGCCACCTGCCCTCAGGGTGAGTAAGGAGCATGGGAGGGTTCCCAGCCCTGCTCCCCCCTCCCCAACCCCAAGAAAACACAGCTACCATGGGGAAGGATAAAATACATTTTGGGTTTTTTTCCTTTTTATTATTTATAAGTCTTATAGTAAAGGGAAGCCTTAACTTGCAAGACAACTCTGAGCAGTATGTACAACATACTTTAGATCCATGGAATGAATGGCGTTAAAATGGGGTCACCTACAGGGAGAGGAGAGGTGGGGAAATGCCACAAAT